TATTGAGAGGATCATATGATTCTTGTTCTTTCTTTTGTTAATGACTAAGTGACTTTTATCCCATATATGCAAGCCTGGCTCATCATTCAAGAATCAATTAATATGATATATCACATCAACAAACTAAAAAAAAATCATTCGATCATATCACTAGAGACAAAAAAAGCATTTGACAAAATCTAACATCCATTCATGATAAAAGCCCTCAGTAAACTATGAATAGAGGGGAAATTTCTCAACTTGATAAAGAATACCTACAAAATGCTATAGCTAACATCATTCTTAATGGTAAGAAATTCAAAGTTTCCTACTAAGATCAAATACAAGGCAAGGATTCCCTTTACTACTCTTTTCAACACCATACTAAAAACTGTAGCTAATGCAAAGGACAAGAAAAGGAAATAAAAGGTATACAGATTGGGAAGGAAGAAATAAAGCTTTCTTTTTTAAAAGATTTTATTTATTTATTTTAGAGAGAGAGAACATGAGAGAGAGAGCACAAGCCATGAACAGGGTGGGGGGGGTGTGAGCAGAGAGGAGAAGCTGACTTCCCCCCTTAACAGGGAGCCCAACTCGGGGCTTGGTCCCACGACCCTGGGATCATGACTTGAGCTAAAGGCAGATGCTTTACTGACTGAGCTACCCAGAGGCCCCTAAAAATTTCTTTGTAAATGACACAATTGTCTATGAAGAAAATCTGAAAGAAAAAAAAAACCTTCCTGAAATTCATAAGCAATTATATCAAGGTTGCAGAATACAAGATTAATATACAAATGTCAATCACTTTCTTATATACCAACAATTAACATGTGGAATTTGAAATAAAACAGAATATCATTTACATTAGCACTCCACACATGAAATACTTATGTACAAATGTTACAAAATATGTGAAAGATCTGTATCAGGAAACTACAAGACCCTGATGAATGAGATCAAAAGACTAAATAAATAGAAATTCCATGTTTGTGGATAGGAAGACAATATCATCTAGATGTCAGTCAGTTCTTTCCAAATTGCTCTATAGACTCAATTCCATTCCCATCAAAATTCCAGGAAGTTATTTTGTGGATATCCACAAGCTGATTCTAAAGTTCACAGGGAGAGGCAAAAACCCAGAATAGCCAGAACAATATTGAAGAACAAAGTTGGAGAAATGACACAACCTGAATTCAATACTTGCTATAAAACTATAGTAAACAAGACAGTGGGATGTTGGTGAAAAAATAAACAAATAAATCAATGAATAAAGAACTCATTAATAGATACACACAAATATAGGCAACTGATTTTTGACACAAGAGCAAAGGCAATACAATAGGACAAAGATAGTCTTTTGAACAAATGCTACTTGAACAACTGGACATCCACATGCCAACAACAACAACAACCCCCCCCCAAAAAAACCCAAAATGAGTCTAGACACCTTTCACAAAAAAAAACCTCAAAATGGATCACAGACCTAAGTGTAAAGCACAGAACTATAAAAAATCCTAGAAAATAACATAAGAAAAAACCTAGATGATCTTGAGTATAGTGATGACTATTTAGATATCAAAGACATGATCCATGAAAGAAATAATAAATTAGACTTCATTAAAATTAAAAAAAATTCTACACTGTGAAAGACAATGTTAAGAGAATAAGAAGACAGATTAGAGACTGGGAGATCATATTTGCAAAAGACACATTTAATAAAGGAATTTAAGTTGAATTTAATATTCAAAATATACAAAGAACTCCTGAAACTCCTGAAATTCAACAATAAATAAACAACTTGATTAAATAATAGGTCAAAGACCTTAACAGACACTTTACCAAAGAAGATACACAAATGGCAAATGAGCATATAGAGATGTTCTAATGGCTTCAGGGAAATGCCCATTAAAATGAGATACCACTCCACACTTATGAAAATGGCCAAAATCTGAACATTGACAACACAAAATGTTGATGAGGATTGGATCAACAGGAACTGTCATTCATTGCTGGTGGGAATGCAAAATAGTACAGCCACTTCTTTTAAAGTTTTTATTTAAATTCCAGTTAGATAACATACAGTGTAATATTAGTTTCAGGTGTACAATATAGTGATTCAACACTTCCATACAACATCCAGTGCTCATCACAACAAGTGCATTCCTTAATCCCCATCACCTATTTAATTCATCCCCCCACCTCCTCCCCTCTGGTAACCACCAGTTTGTTCTCTATAGTTAAGAGTTTATTTCTTGGTATGTCTCTCTCTTTTTTTCCTTTTGCTCATTTGTTTTGTTTCCTAATATGAGTTTCCACATATGTGTGAAATCATATGGTGTTTGTCTTTCTCTGACTGGCTTATTTTACTTACCATAATACACTTTAGCTTCATCCACGTTGTGGCAAATGACAAGATTTCATTCTGTTTGATGGTCATCATATATGTGTCTGTGTGTGTATATGATGACCATCAAACAGAATGAAATCTTGTCATATATATATATACACACACACACACAATATCTTCTTTATATATTCATCGGTCAATGTATACTCTCATAATTTGACTTTTGCAGCCACTTTAAAGACAGTTTGGCAGTTTCTTACAAAAGTTAACATACTCTTACCATACAATCCAGCAATTGTGTTACTTGGTATTTATCCAAAGGAGTTGAAAACACATTTACAGCAAAACTCACACACGCAGGTTTATTCATAATTGCAAAAACTTGGAAGCAATCAAAATGTCTCCAAGGAAGTGAATGAATAAATTGTGGTACATTCAGACAATGATATATTACTCAGAGATAAAAAGAAATAAACTGTCAAGCCATGAAAAGACATGGAGGAATCTTAAATGCATATTACCAAATGAAAGAAGCCAATTTGAAAAGGCTACATACTGTGATTCCAACTATATGATATTTTATCATGAACTAATGTTGAATAACGCCTACCAATCAGTAGGAAAAGAGGCACAATCAATAAAAACATGGACCCAAGATCCAAATAGAAATTCACAAAATAGCATATCTAATGGCTAAAGAGTATGTGAAAAAGTTTATCAACATCATTTGAGAGAAACAAGTAAATGAAAAACCAACATGATATGCATTTACACACTCAGAAGAATAGCTAAAATTGAAAAAATTATTCTATCAATAAACAGGAAGGACAGCTAATATGAGAAAGTTACGAGGACTCCATAATAATTCAGGGATAACGCATACCTTCCATCTTTCTTCAACTCTCTCCCCACTCCTGACTCTCCTCAAAGAATACTTGATACACGTCACCAATCATTTACAAATGCTTTTCACAATCAACATAGAATTGGCCCCAGAATTACATTTAACACAGTCTCACCATGGACTTTTCTTCTCCACTGTTTCTACTCTTGAGTTCTAAGTCCCATTCTGTATTCTACTCTTCTTTTCCAAGCCGACACAATATTCATGAATGATTCAGGCTGAAATATATTTTATTTAGCTCTTTATTCATTACAGACATGTACAGACAGAAACACTAGGTCTTGAATGAAGTACTAGAGGTAATGAACTAAAGAGAAGATTTAGTTAATGTTTGTCCTTTTTGTGAATGGGTCTCTTCAATTACTCAATGCGGTCACATTGTCTCATGCAGCAGAGAGTTGTAGGTCTTGCACAGTATGCCATCTTAAATTCTTTTTCACCACATTGATTTTTACATTGACCACTAAGCTTTATGCATGCTTCCCACCAATTAAAGACAGCATAGTGCTCTTTACTTCTAGCTGAAAGAAGGCAAGAATGAATGGAATTAAAAATTCAGGTAAGAAATGCCAAGATTTAAAAGAAGACACACAAAGAAGCACAGACCACAGAGGGAAGAAAAAGGAAAGGGATTCACTGGTTTTTTCATTGGAATCTTTCTGTCCCTATGTACATCAGAGCAAACCAAGGAAATCAGCAAGCATCCTATTCCTAAGCTAGATCTCCCACCTCTACGCATTTCAACTGATCAAGTCATGACTCAATAAGGGATATCTGGAGAGCTTGCAACAACATAATACCTTTTTCTACCTCTCTTGCTCATCCCTAATGAATATAAGTGCGCCAATCTCCATCTTCTCTCTCATTTATTATAAACGCATAGTTCTGTTCTATTGTGAATCTTTCCTCCTCCACAAGGTTTCATTGTTCATCGAAACCAGACTTTAGTGTTCTAAAATACTAAAAAACACTGTTTTTTTAAATTTTATTCAATATCTCAATTCTTCTTGGATCCGTACCCCACTTTAACCCCCAGGAAATGTTTACTTAAAAACAGATACTTTGGGAGGTTAACATAATGAATAGGAAATTAACAGAAAAGGAAGACATAGCAAACATTTCAGCAAGGCTGTTAATTTTTCAGTACTACTTTCCCTTTTCTCTTACTAATGTTTCTGAAGCTATAGAAACTTTAAAATTTTTCATTCTTTCACTTTGCAGTGTAGTTCCTTTGATTTTGTAACTTCAACAATCATGAGGAATGAGGTAAGGATTTGCTGTTTCTAACAGAAGTTCTGAAATGCAGGAGAAGGTTTTCATTTATTCCCTGTATCTTCAAAAACGAAACTATAAATAAATGGTGCAGATTAACAGAGAACCAGGTTTTAGCTCAATATGATAAATGCCTTTTTAACATTTAATGCTTTTATAAAGATCATGAAATATCTTGTATTAGTAAATACATATCCATCATCCTAGATAAATATAATCAGGCCCTACTGGACATATTTTAGAAGGTCAGCCAGAATGGGTAAGCCATTGTCACTGATGTTTGTAGGCAAGCTTTCATCCCAGAGACTTTTTAATTCTATAATTAACCAAACCCTTGTCCATCTTTTCCAGTAAAATATTTTACAGAGGTTTTTTTTATATACATATTTTAAATAAAGTAAAAATACTATTCACATGATATTCTCTTTATTCATCTATTGTAATTTTGATGACCATATAGGTTATTTGCTATATGGCAAATATTGTTACTATTAATATTCCTGTACTCTTTCCTCAACCGCATGTTCCAGTCTTCTGTTGGGTAGACATATTCACAATGGAAATCCTAGATCACAGACTATACATGTCCTCAGCTATAATAGATTGTGACAAATTGTTTTCCAAATTGGTGCTACCAGTTTCATTCTCTGCAGCAGTGCATGAAAATTCTTACTATTTCATTTGCATTATCATACTTTGCATTATCAAACTATAAAAATTTTAAATATGCTTTTGAATGTGTGGTGATATCTTATCATGGTTTAAATTTGCACTTTCCTGATTGTTAATGAGGATAAACACTTTAAATAGGTTTGTATATCCACTTTGACAAATTACCTAAGTCTTTTTCCCATATATCTACTGAATTTTCTGTTTCTTTTGATTTATTAGAATTCTTTATATATTTTAGATACAAGCTTTTTGCCAGTTATATAAATATATATATTATATACAAAATATATATTTTGTAATTTTAATATTCCATTCTATGGTTTGGCCCAGCTGCTATATAAGAACTGAGGGAATTTTTCATGTGAGGTGTTGATCAAGTGGTGCTATGGCCAAGAAGGAAGCATCTTAGAAGGTTGTGAGTACTAAAGCCTAGGTTTGAGATGAAGGTGACCAGAGATAATGTATACTTTCTCTGTATATTAATGTAACTCTGTAATTAATATAAATTATTTTGAAGTTAAAAAAGAATAACATAAGTTTCTAAGTTCATATAAATGCAGGTATATGTAGAGAAATATTGATAGATATATAAACAAAAATAGACATTTAGAGATAGAGATACATAGATAAATCAATGTATATCATAACCAAGGTAATTTCGACTTTGAAGAGTAAGAATTCCAGAATTGCAGATTACAGACTAAGGGAAGATTAAATCTAATGCACATCCAGTCATAGTGAGTAAATGCCAGTTTTTAAGTTTTTATGTCATAAATGCAGGCTTTTCTACTTATACACATTGCCAACAATATCTGATAGCCAAAAAATGATATTTATTTTGTTAATGTCTCAAAACAACAGCTGTTACTGAATATACATAACTGCAATAAAGGATGACTCTTCTTTAAACTTACTTTCTTCACACCGTAATTGAACTGATGTGATATACAACAAAACTTAAGCAAATAGAATAACCAAAGAACAAATTATTTTTCTATGTTTTTAAGTATTATATCATAAATCTGAGTACAGTCTGACTTAGCTAATGTTACCACATCTTCAAAGAATAATCCTCAAATTTGGCATTATGCTCCAACAAATCAGCAATTTCTTACATGCCTCTGTCCTTTTTCTTGTTTTAAAAATATCCTTGTCTTCTTCCTTTTTTTCCTTCCTTGTCTTCTTCCTTTTTTTTCTTCTTCCTTTTCTGCCCTCTAAATACGTGCATTCCTGAAGACTATTTTTTGGTTTTCCTCTCTCCCTTTATCCATGCATCTGTCCATTTATTCATTGATTCATTAAATAAATCTTGAGCACCTCTATATATATCATGCACTGTGGTAGTCTTCAGCAATGATAAACAAAAGACAAAAAACTTGGCCCCTGTATAAATTAACTTGGCCAATGACCTCATCTCTACGTCTTTTTCTGAACACTGTCACAAAGACAACCCTCTTTCTTTACCTTCCCATAGAAATTTATTTGTATCACTCACACGGTGTTTGTAACATTCTAACTTGAGAAGACACCTTGCTAAATGATATTCTAAATCATAATTGAGATAAAGACTAAAGCAGAGAAGAACTCTTTTTGAAATAAATCCCCAACACCTAGTCTAGACTCTTCTTGCTCAAATGCCTTTTTAAGTTATCTTAATTACAGCATCCTTGGAAGTAATAAGAACACCTTAATTAGCCTTTCTATGTAACAATTATATTTTATGTATCCAAAGATATCAGGCTTATGGACAAGGGGCAGTGGTGATTGACTAAAAGAAATTTTGCCAGCTGTCACATAAGAGGGAAACTAAGACAACTTAGAAGTCCCAGTCTGACTTCTAAGCATAGTGACACTAACAACTATTTTTTAAAATATTAAGGATGCTAGAAGCAATGATTGGAGAATGTTCCCTTTTGGAAATAGTAAGAACACCTGTCTAGATAGAGTTTCATAAAAAAATAAGACCCTATGACTTTAAAATGAGACTTCTTTCTCATTCTGAACACGAAATTCAACCTTCATAAAACTAGATGTTGAAAGATAAGAAGAGTTAAATAAATGGGAGTGGGATGGAGAACATAGGATATTTCCTCCATTTCTTTTAATAGATAGTGATTAAAATTGCAAGATATAATTCTACTTGTTTTATTTTACCTGGATTGTTTTCCTTTGTACCGTATTTTGCTTTTTCAAATATTGTGGAATAATTATGCATCTCTGAGTATAGTTTCTCAAATCTTTTTCTACATATGGTCATCAATAGTGGCATAGAATTGGTAATAGGTTGGTCACAACCCACTGCAAAAGAGAAAAACATTACTTTAAAAGCATAAGAAAAGGGTATTTTCCAAAATAAAGACAATACTGTATTTGCCTTTATTACATGGTTCTATATACTATAAGAGGTTTTAAAAAATGATGAGCTTGTAAAAATACATCTCTTCAAAATTAGGTTGACTAAATAAATGAATGGCTTGGCTATTAAGAAGCTTTTCTCACATGACTATTGTAAAGAGTAATAAATTAATAAGGACAAGAGGCAGAACAGATGCTAGCTATTAACATCATTACTATTAAGGAAAAAAAGCATCAGTGCATATTAAAATCTATGCAATTCTACATAGTATCTCAGAAAAATTCTACAAATATGGAGAATTTTAATGAACATGTTTTAATAAACTTTTATAAAGATGATGAAGGAAAATAATCTTACTTAAATTAACTCCATGGCCTTGAGTTACATTATCGGTTGAAATTCAATTCTCTTTTGGTGAGAAATTGTCAGCTAAAAAGTTACTTATGTTTGAGTGTCAGAACAGAGTAGCAGTAAGAGAATGGGTAATTATAGATTTATTTTATGGTGATCTCCTCCCATCTCAATAATGACAGATATCTTGGTGACCCAGAGAAAGTAGCAAAATAAAGAAGAATTTAAATGGAAGTGAGTATATGTATAGCTAGTCTTTGGACTTTTGGCTAGGTATTTAACCTCACTTAACCTCTGCTATCAATACTATAAATGCAAGATGAATAATTTGCAAGCATAAATTCATTCCATTCTCAATTTTTTAAAAATCTACCAGTATATTAAATTTAGTAGAATTTGAATATTAAATAAAGACGCATTTCAGGGATTGATTAAATCATGGTAGTACTATTTTTTTAATAACTTACATATATATGCACATATATGTATAAATGTTTATATATATGTAAAATCTCATGTAATCAAAGTGAATTGCAGACTTTACTAGTGAATTGTCCCTGAAAAATTATTCAACTATTTTCTCCATCTAGGGGTTGTAAATAAATATAATATGGTATTGCTGACAGTATTAACATAATGATTTTATAATGTTAATGATACTTACTTAAAAAAATCCTGACCCCACCCCACTTAGTGCTGACCCCTGTGGCAATAACATTCATATTACCTGGTGGAATGAAGACACCAAAGGACAAAATAGAAAAAGAAAGAAGGATCTTCATTGTAAATGATTTCTTAGGAGAAAATAGCTCACAGATCTTCTGTCTTAACTTACGTATTGTTGAAATAAGAAAGAAAAAAAAATCCTTTTACTTATAGAACTCTTCTGCTCAGTCTTGATTACTGAAGCTTGTTAAGAGGAAGAACATTTCTATGCTTCGTTGAATGTTCAAACAGATACTGGCTAGACAAAGTTGGTGTATTGCCACACAAAAATGCCATCTATTGATTTATCTTGAGGCTAGTTTCTCTAAGAAACTTTAACAGTTACAAGATTATGGGTATAAATTACTAAGTGACCAATGTTGAGAATAACCCTGCAGTAATTCACATGATATTGCAGAAGTATGTTTTTTATATAACCACATTTATCATTTTAATGCCCCCAATATAAGAATGTCAGTGTAATGAGAAATCCAAAACAGAATTTTAGACTGATATTACCATTGAGGATATTTAATTTTATACATAAAAGTATGAGATCTAGTGTGGTCAAGTGATTTCATAATCTATTACCATTTTTATTTAAAATATATATTAACATAAACAATGACAGCATACTGACTTGTTTGAAAATTATCTTATCTAGATCAGTTGTACCCTGAAGAAAGGTCTATCCCCTCAAGTAAGTTTTATGAAAGTCAGTGCATATGCATCCTATGTTAAAAAGTCAAAGTGCATTTCTATTTTTTTTCTATGTAGCATGAAGTCATTTCTGAGATCATTCATAAGTTTTCCATGGTTTATTATAGCAGATATTGAGAAGCACAGGTGAAATTGTTCCTGAGATCCCATAAGCAGACATTAGGAGCAACAGTCCATTGATTCTCTCTTACTACACCCAAAGAAGGCACTAAGAATCTGGAGATAAAGGGTCCCAGTCAACATTAGCCATCCTTATTCTACATCAACAGACATGTTTGCTATCAAAACATGCATATTTATAATCTCAGCAAAACTTTCTGAACAAAGCAATAGAGATATGTCCAAGAATTTTTCCTTCTATAACCAATTTCTTCACTTTGTAAAATCTGAATTTAAAATGAGGGATTGGAAGTTAAGAACTTGGTGGGAAGCACATGATTGAGAATTTTGTCATCATCTGACATAGAGGAAGACAATTTAAGACTGTCTCTACATAAGATGAATTCATCAGAAATTAATCTAATACCTATTAATGTGCCTATTAATGCTCTCATTGCTGTAGTATAACTGTAAAGAAGATAGTGTATTTGATTATTGTGGATGAGAATAAGTATTAGTTGAGTCACTACAACTAAATTTCAAATTCTATTAAAAATAAATTTTGGGTAACTTCTTTGTTATCAAAACTTCAGTGAATAAACCCTAAGAAAAGAGCAGAGAAGAAAGGTCTCTCTTTGATTTTTCTATTCTATTCCTTTCCAAAGGTAGGACAAAGGTGAAGTATTGTTACCTCCAGAGACTGTAGCCAATTAGAAATTTATGTTGGATATTTCATTTCATTTCATTTTTCTCAAGGGAAAAAATGACAAAAAGAAAATATTACTGCTGACTCACTTAGGATAATTTGTGACTCTGGTCTAATCCCATGGAGAACGTGGAAATCCTCCCTGTTTTGAGCAGGTAAGCACCATCTCAGTCTTTTTCTCTGGATGCCCAACACATTAAACACAGAATCTACCTCACGAAGCACAACTAGACTATTTTTTCAACACTTATTATTTGAATATGACAGTACATATCATTTAAATAGTTTTTGTTTTACAGATACAAAGAATTTTAAATCATAGACAACTGGATAATTTAGGAAGGTTTGGATTCATTCATCACCAATCTGTGATCACTTTGTAGTCATTGCAGACATTTAGGAAAACTAAAAAAAGACCTTGTCACTGCCTTGAAGAGCTCAAATTATTTTTGAAAAGACATGCAAATGGAGCACTGGATGTTATACACAATGAATCATGGAACACTACGTCAAAAACTAATGATGGATGGTGACTAACATAATAAAATAAAATTAATTTAAAAAAGAAAAGACATGCAAAGAAATATATGACAAAGAAATAGGGTAAATGTTATAAAAGTTGTATGAAAATAATTTTTATATGTAGTTTTTCCCCTCCAATATCACAAAATTCAACATGGAAGTTTGCATATTACAGTGTTTCTGGATTAGGGATTTTGTGGATCTAATCAGAAAAATCTAAATTGTGAAAATTAAAGCAAAAACTATTGCATTGAGTCCATTGAAGAAAGTATTTTATCCTATTTCATTTTCTCTTCATTTCCTAATTTTCCTTATTAAATTATAGAGAAGCAATTTATCACTCTAATTAGTGGCCCAGGGTCTGCAACATTCATGATTATCAAAACCCACACCATCTTGGATAGTAAAAATGTACAAAAGGTGTGTATTTTGTCAATTCAGTCAATTGGCAAGGGCTGTCTAGACTGTTGAGCTAAAAAGAATTCTAAGGCCAATTCTATGTTCAGTGGGAAATTGTTGTAACTAAATAGTGATGTATATCAAACATTCCAGGCAAGGAGAGTTGCTAAAGAATTATCACATATTTACTGTCTCCAAATTAATGATATTAAATACATAGGATCGTAAAATCTTTGTAACTTTCACGTTATTATTTTCTCTGTTATTATTGCTAAAACTTCTAAAAGAAAAGCAATGTAAATTCTAGTATTTAAAGCAAGCAGCTTTGCAAGTCTTTTAAGGAGTGTAATCCCGAAGGGGTCGGCAGTGAGAGACTCCTTCATGGAGAAAATGAGTAGATTAGAAGGGAAAGAAAAGAAAGAATGGAAGCGTACCTGTACATGAGAAGTAACCTTATAACTTAGTCTATAAAAATTACAAAAATCCCAAATATTTAATTATTTTAATTCATTGTTAGAAATGTGCTCTTTGTTCCATACCAAAAATCTTGCTACACTGACATTGGCTATCTCTTAAAATTGAAATAAGTATTACTCACATAAGCATATATATACAATCTATTTGCCAGACCTACCCCACCAATTTTCTCTCAATTTTCTCTAAAATGGCAATCAGCAAATCTTTTCTACCATGCTTCTATGTTTGAGCTCAGAGCTGCTCCCTTTCTTCTGAACCCTCCTTCTGACATCTTTTTCTAGCTCTTAGTCCTGAGGAGGTAACCCCCTAAACTTAATAGTTACTTGAAACTGTAAGTGCTTAATTTTCTAGTCAGTGGCAGTTGGATTATTCTCACATGTCTATTAATCTAATTGTAAATGTCCCATTGGGGAGCTCACAAAAAATGGTCACTACAATTAAAACAAGATATCTTATCTGAAGGTTTATATCTGTTTCAGACTTTTATTCATGGGCTAATTAATTTTTCCACATAGTTTCTTCAGCATGAATGCCCTGCCAACCCTTATTCCATTAGCTAATTCCAATTATTTCCTTCTTCTCAACGCAGGTGTCGTGTTTTTATCAGCAATCATCATGACTACCCTGGATTAGGTTCTACTCTCCTTTAAATTATCTCCTTTTCTCTCCTTCCCCCTCCTGATTAGATACTGAGTTCTTCCAAGTTCCTGTAGAAATTGCGTTCATCCTCATACTTAAGTGGGTCTAGCTCAGTCCTACTATTTAATAGATATTCAGCAAACATAATTCTAATTGACTTTTAAGGGTTGTACTTTTGTTCTTTATTTGCAAGACTTGAATTTTGAAAAAAATACATTATAAGTTATCTAAAATAAGTATTGTTCAATTGCTCAACATCATCTACTACATAAACATTTTTAACACCCTCATTCCT